CACCAACTTAAAATGCCTATTTTGGTTTGATTGCTTGTGTTACATGAGAAAATAAATAATTTTGCCTTACTGATGCAGTAGCCTATTTAATGCGGGCGCGGTTCAGGTCACGGTCTTTATGTCAAACGGGTCAGGTACAGAATTAAATTGGTGCTGGCTGCTGTCGTATAAAGGGTCGGGTGTTCTGTTAGGCCTATGTACTGCGGATGCAGGTTACCTAACAGGACCCGTGCAAGACTCTGCTTTTTGCGTCTCTCCGTATCTTAGTTTCAGTTTTCGTTTACGAAAATAACCTTGCCAGAGACACGCCCACTCATCACATCACTGACCAGAGACACGCCCACTCATGACCTCACTGACCAGAGACACGTCCACTCATTACTTCACTTACCAGAGACACGCCCACTCATCACATCACTGACCAGAGACACGCCCATTCATGACCTCACTGACCAGAGACACGCCCACTCAACACATCACTGACCAGAGACACGCCCACTCATCACATCACTGACGAGACACGCACATTCGTGACCTCACTGACCAGAGACACGCCCACTCACATCACTGACCAGAGACACGCCCACTCATCACATCACTGACCAGAGACACGCCCACTCATGACCTCACTGACCAGAGACACGCCCACCCATCAAATCACTGACCAGAGACACGCCCACTCATGACCTCACTGACCAGAGACACGCCCACTCATCAAATCACTGACCAGAGACACGCCCACTCATCACATCACTGACAGAGACACGTCCACTCATCACATCACTGACCAGAGACACACCCACTCATCATGACCTCACTGACCAGAGACACACCCACTCATCATGACCTCACTGACACAGAGACACACCCACTCATGACATCACTGACCAGAGACACGCCCACTCATCACATCACTGACCAGAGACACGCCCACTCATGACCTCACTGACACAGAGACACGCCCACTCATCACATCACTGACCAGAGACACACCCACTCATCACATCACTGACCCAAACTCTTTCAGCATGTAACGTCTCTCTGGTCTCACACAGGCACGCTGGCCGGAGTGATCGATCTGGCTGTTGATTGGATGACGGATCTGAAGGAAGGCGTGTGTCTGTCTGCGCTCTGGTACAGTCATGAGCAGTGCTGCTGGACGTCCAACGAGACCACCTTTGCTGACAGAGACAAATGTCCTCAGTGGCAGAAATGGGCCGAACTGATGACGGGATACACAGAGGTACAGCAGAGTGATTATCAAGTTAAAACTAATTTTTATGCAATGCTTTTTTGGGTTTATCCTAGGGCTGCATGGAATAAAACCAAAAATGCAGTATGGCTTAGTGCAATTATCAAATCACAAAAGCTGCAATTTAAATAATTTAATAGAATAAATAAATATATTTCCACCAAAATAAAGTTGCACTGTAGTATAAAATTATTATTATTATAATTTTTTTTTAATATTATTTTTCTTCGATACTATATTTTTTATTTTATAGTGAAATTACAATTGTAATATTTCTTATTTTCTTTAATATTTTTATTTAGTAGTAGTAGCAGTAGTAATAATAATAATAATTATTATTACGATTATTATTTTTATTATAATCATTGATATATAATGATCATTCAGTGAAATATTTGTTCATTATATTCAGATTTGCTTTATACAACATTAGGAAGATCAGGCCCTTTCTTTCAGAACATGCAACACAACTCCTTGTTCAAGCTCTTGTTCTGTCCAGGCTGGACTATTGCAATGCTCTCTTGGACACACGCACACTCTCTCTCACACACATGCACACACACACACACACACACTCACACACACGCACACACGCACACACACTCTCACACACACACACTGTAATGCATTATAATAGCCTGTCAAAGGGGCTCATAACTTGGCAAACAGAATTTTTCTTGAATTTATTTATTCATTTATTTTTTATTTTTTTATTTATTTTTTTTTTAAAGAATTTGATGTACTCTGTAGACACTATATTGTTTAATGTATAATCATAATGTAAAATGCATAATCATTCATTTTAAATTATGTAATATGTGTGTGTCTGTGTGTGTGTGTGTGTGTGTGAGTTTCTGTGTCATCATTAATTTACTTGATGTCTTGTATACCTGTCTGTAAAATTTTATTTTTATATAAAATTTTTAAATGTGCATATATAATTATAAATAGTTTATAATGAAGAGTCTGCTAAATGACTAAATAAATAAATAAAATAAATAAATATTACAACTAATATTTCTTATTTTTTTAAATATTTTTATTTTATACTACTACTACTACTACTACTACTAATAAAATAATAATAATAGTAATTATTATCATAGTCATATTGATCTAAAATCACAAAAAGCTGGAATTTCTAAAATCGCAATCACAAGTTTTATCAGAAAAATAAAATCAATATAAATAATTAAATCTCTTAAAAAAAAAAATTCTAATTAGTTTCTTTAAAATAAAAAAAAAAACTTTTTCTATTTCTTATTTTGTTTAATATTTCTTATTTAGTAATAATAATAATAATTATACATATAATCACAAAAAATTGTGCAGCCCTACAAACAAGCACAGCAAACCTGGAATTTTTTATAATTTTTTTTATTTCCCCTCATATCGTGCAGCCCTAGTTAGTGACCCTCTTCACACTCTGACGTCTGTGTGATTCTGTCATCAGGGCGCAGGCGTGTACTTGCTGAACTACTTCCTGTACGTGCTGTGGGCGCTCTTCTTCTCCTTCCTGGCCGTGTCTCTGGTGCGAGTGTTCGCTCCATACGCCTGCGGATCAGGAATACCAGAGGTGCAGAAAACAAAGCTAATATGTGACCCTGGAGCACAAAAGCAGTCATAAGTAGCACAGGTATATTTGTAGCAATAGCCAACACACACTGTAATGCATTATAATAGCCTGTCAAAGGGGCTCATAACTTGGCAAACAGAATTTTTCTTGAATTTATTTATTCATTTATTTTGTATTTTTTTATTTATTTTTTTTTAAAGAATTTGATGTACTCTGTAGACACTATATTGTTTAATGTATAATCATAATGTAAAATGCATAATCATTCATTTTAAATTATGTAATATGTGTGTGTCTGTGTGTGTGTGTGTGTGTGTGAGTTTCTGTGTCATCATTAATTTACTTGATGTCTTGTATACCTGTCTGTAAAATTTTATTTTTATATAAAATTTTTAAATGTGCATATATAATTATAAATAGTTTATAATGAAGAAATCAAGTGAGTCAATGATTCAGTGACCCATTCATAAAAACAGTATCTTGCTTAGTTTCTGAATTAATCAGCTGTTTGAGCGAATGAAGTGAGTCAATGATTCAGTGACTCATTTATAAAGACAATTCACTTGCTTTTTTTCTGAATGAATCAGCCGTTTGAACGAATCGATTCAGTGATTCATTAATAAAGACATGCTGCATCTCAATGTGCCTACTTATACTACGCCCTTAAAGTATGTACTCTTTTGGTGAAGAAAAAGTACACTGTGTAAATTGTGTCAACGTTCCCCAACGCACAGAACTCTATGTAACAAAGAATCAAGCTACAGCAAGTGTTATATGCTGCGTCCTAATTTGCCTACTTATACTACGCCCTTAAAGGGATAGTTCACCTTCAATTGCTGGTCCACATTGACTTCCATAGTATGGAGAAAAAAAAACACTATGCAAGTCAATGGGAACCAGCAACTGAAGGTGAACTATCCCTTTAAAGTATGTACTGTTTTGGTCAAGAAAAATGTACACACTTTTGAGTGTGTAGTAGAAGAGTAGGCAAGCTTTGGGACATACTATCACATCACACAACTGCGTCTTTAATAGACGCTCTGTCGCATAGATACACGCACCCTGTCACAGTAAACTGGCCTGTCAATCATCTTGTCACAGTTAACATCCTCCACATTGCATTTCA